TTCTGAAGTGCAATTCAAATACAGTGATCATAAAAATAACTGATGCTGATATGAAGATCTTATAAAATCTTACTATAAACAGTAGTTTATTTACAGATAAACCAAACTCACCCTGTGAAGACAACAGTGCGAGTGCCTGTCCTCGGGGAGGAGAAAGGACAACGGAGCAGTTCCTTCTCCCTCTTGATGACACTAAGAATGACTCTCCCCAGAAGAATGTTCCCCATGTTTGAGTGCCCATCCTGGAGTCTTAAATATAGCGTCCAGCCATGCCACCGCGGGGACAATGGGGAGACCCGTCAGGGCTGCTCCGGTGGCCGCTAACCACAGGCTCCTGTTCAGATCAGGCAAAGCATTGCCTTTGCCAAAAGATGTCAGGGAAGACAGGTGTCTCCAAAATTCAGGCATCGGGGTGTTGGACTATCATCTGCTCATTTAGGATAGAAGCTCACAAAGCATTGAAAATGAATGGTGAATATTTTAATCTCCTCTAGGAATTTCCCTGATGTTAATCTTACTATTGCTGCTATTGAGTGAAATCATTTGCTTTGACATCTCTAGTGAATGCCAGCTCCAGCCAAATCATGTCGGTGTATAATTAGATGGGGAGCTCACAGCAGCTCTCACGTCTTGGCTGCAGCTGTTGCACTTCCCTTACTGCAGGTGAAGGAAGCCTTGCTGCTGCCAGAGCACTGAGCACGCAGGTCCAGCTGCCCGTGGTGGTATCCGAGCCTCTGCGGTGGGGTATAACACCAGTGGCTGCTGGGTTTCCATTTATTTGAGGTAGGTTTGTGGTTTTGGCATTCAGGATAAACATAAACCCTTCCCAGCAATGTGAGAAGCGGGGGCTGGGTTTTGTGGTGTTAGAAGGAGAAATGAAGGTTTGGAAGTAGTGAACTCTGAGGCTGTAATACCAGTTCGTGAGCCAGATATTTTCCAGCTACATGTTATTAGAAGATCATCAGTTGTGGGCTTCTCAGAGCTGCTGGGTGTCTGAAAGAGGGTGCATACAAACAGAAGATTGCCACGCTGGATGAAGCTCAGTGTCCTGTCTCGAGAGTGGAATCAGTGCTTTATTGTTACTAATACTCCTATCCCTTTCTGAACACTCTCTGGTTCTGGCCTCCACAGGGCCCTGTGGAAGTGAATTCCCCCACCAAATCTGGCACAGTTTGAGTCACCCTACCTGTATCAGTAGGATCCATTCCTAAGAACTTATGTTTGCCTCACCATAAAAACAAAACCAAGATGAAACCCAACAGGATCATTCCCCCCTGAAGCTCTGTGTGTATGTGAAGCCCTGCTGCTTCACACACAAGGGCTTCTGTGTGAAGTTGATTTAGTGGCTCTGTGTCAGATATTCCTAAGGAAGCAAGGAAGAGGAGCTGCTGGGCAGGCATGGCTCGTGGCATGGACACGATCTGGTACAAGCTGAGCTGTCGAGGTGAAGGAGCACATTTCTTTTACTGCTTTTGAACATTTGCATGTCCACTTGAGTGCTTTCCTGAAATTGTATTATGAGAAGTAATGAGTAATTATCATCTATTCTGCTTAATATTAATAATTTCCTTAATCTCTTGTCACATCAACCCTCTGTTGTATGTTTTAAGGAGAAGAATCTTAACTTCTCTCTCCATCTGAATGGTGACCGCTTTTGTCACCTTTTTCTTATAAGAATATCCTATAATCATGTCTCACAGCTGTCATTATCTCACTCTGAGAAGGAAGAAGGTGTACATGGACAGTTTAAAACCTCTGAAACAGCAAGTGTGAGGCCATTGCTCAGGAGCTGCAGTTCTGCTGCAGTGAACCTCCAGGCACTATCAGCAGTACTGTTAGGCCAGCATGGTGCCAGAGCTGAGGTATAAACTCTACTTTATCGGGGTGCCCAGGACTTTCAGAGCTGCCCCTCAGCTCTGCTTCATTCTGCCTCCAGAATTTAGCATTTTCCCTTTGTTCCTGAGGAAGATTTTCCTCAAAGGACGTGTTAAACAAAATCATCAGTGATTTTTTTTATAGTCTTTAAACAGGGCACCCTTCAATGGCAGAACCAAGGAGGGACAGTGGGAGCCTCCGCAGCGTGTACAGCCCTGTGCAGGGCGCTGGGTGGCGGAGCAGGGACAGCTCCTGGATTTAGCTGAGAGGACAAAGGGTTAATGCTGGTGATTGGGTGACAGCTGCCACATGCTATGCTGATACCCCTGTGACAACTGGGACTGCAATGCTCACCTGTCATCGGCCTGGGAATTAGCATGGCCTTTGTGCGAGGCACTTGGGGCTTTTATTATCTAGAGCTATTGAAACTGTTATCTGGAAAAGTCAGGATAACTAGGAGCAGGCTGTTGTTAGGTACAGATGGTACAGATGTTAGGTACACAGGAAGACCTTTGAACAAGTGTTGAATCCTGAATCTCCTTACGCAGAATGAGAATGAGACAGTCGAGTCCTGTGCCTGTTTGCTGTGATGCATTTTGACACAAACAAGGCTGTCAGTTTGATTCTGAAAAGCCATGAAACGAAGGCAGTAATGTCAGGGCATGGTGATGGGGGTGGACAAGCACTTTCCTCGCATAGCCATGATAAAGTTCAGTGCTGGCAACATCTCTTTCCAAGCTTGTCCGAAGAGGAATAGTTTTAGAAGGGATGATCTTCCTGTTAAGTTTAAGAGGTGACTCATGAGACAAGAATCGAACTCCTCCTGCTTACTATATCAAGGCCTAAAAGATAAATAATAACTCATCCATGATCAGAGCAGGAAGTTGGGAATATTGCTCTCAATCACCTCACATGCATTCTAAAAGTCTGGTCCCAGGCTTTCTGTGCCTTGGTTCCCATCTCCCCTCCTGGCGCATCAAGATGGTACAGTTATTATGGGCTGGATGTGATCAGACCATGTGACAGGGGCTCTGCTGAGAGACTTGAAAAGGCTTTTAAATGGAAAATGTATTTTCTAGCAGTACGTTCAAACACTCTCCTAAGGCCCCCTTCCCTTCCACACTGTGCTGCCCATACTAATCCGGAGCTGAGGGTTGTGTTTCACAACAGGAGCCAAAACGTTGACATTGTGGCATTTGATTATTCCCTGAGTAGCGTCCCTGGGAATGCTGTTGACACAAGATATGCAGCCCACAGGCAACTCTGACTAAGGTAATTGGCATCACTGGCTTGTCATGCAGCCGCTCCGGGGGGGAGTTGGAGGGTGGAATGTTACCGGGATCTCGCAGCCCTTGGGAACAACGCAGCTGGGCAGCTGCGCTGGAGCGGCATTGCTGGCTGCCATGGCTTTGGTGCCACAGTTTGGACGCAGTACACGAAACAGCTCAAATGACATTCTACAAAACCTTTGATACTGGATGGTATGAGGTAAAGCTGACACAATGGAAATGTCCTTCCAGTTGCTGCCTGGACCATGCACATCCCCAGACCAGTCCTATCCTGTGCCATGACAGCTCTTCACCGCTTCTGACATTTTGACTGTTCAGCCTCATCAGCTTTGTTTGTTACCAATGCTGGAGACAGGAGCTGAACGTTTGCCTGTAAAGGTTCTTTTAACGTTGGGTTGAATCATCAAACCCCTTTCCTTCAGAAGGCTATGGTTTATTTGCAAAATCACACCAAAGCAAGTGGAATTCAGCCTTCAGCCTCAGCTCCCCTGGGCTGTGAGAACACTTGAGTGGCTATGGTGAGAGCAGGCGAGTTCTGCTCTGTCAGCCTTTCCCTGGGCATGCCCTTCAGGCAAGTGCTTCCCATGCCACTCGCAGTCGTGCTCATCCTACAGTTTCAGTTCTCTACAGTGGGTGTCATCAGACACTCACACTTTTTCACCACACCAGGGGAAATCAGCAGGCTGCACTATACTTTCCTCTTAATGAAACAATTGACTTGTCTGTCCCCCTATAAATACCATTTCACTTGCTTTTGGTAAAGGTGCAGTGCTAAAGGAATTTGGCTCTCAATTTACACTGGGTTTGGTTCATTCCAGCCCTGGAGGTGGGTGTGCTGGTAACAGGGGCAGGGGAGGGCTCAGCAATCCTTTGCCATGCAAAGGGAGCATGTTCCTCATCCAGAGTGTCAGTGAAGGGTGGGAGGAAGCAGCTCAAGACCTCCCTAGTTTTCCTCATAGATTACTGAGTGCATGAACTGAGATTGGTGTAAATTGAGATTGAGGGTTGAACTGAGGGTCATGTAAATCCCCACATTCCCGCCTCGGTGGGATGTGATCCTGGCTTCTTTGTCCCCAGGGATTTCAAGGGAAGACAAGAATGTGTGACTATTTCAGAGAAAAAAATGAGCAGCAGCTGAGAAATAAGTCCAAGCAGGGCTCAGACTGCACTAGTCTATGGCAGAGATGAGAATGGCTTTATCTGCCCACAGGCGTTAATGGGCACAGCACGTGAGACGTGGGCTCACAGAACTGCTGCACCAGGATCTATTTGTACTGTTTCAGTGACTGCTTTAAAGACAAAGTCCACTTCATGGAAGTAGCCTGTTTTGCACAAATCATATATCCAAGGGTAGAACACCAACAGATATTTAATTCTTTTACTGTACCATGATGCATTTAATGCTTTTAGGTTTGCATATGTCTGCGCCTGAATTCAAAGGGTGGGTATGTCTTGGACCTGGATCCTTGGTGTTGGTAAAGAGCAAATACAATTTCTGTCACGAATTTTGCTAAATTCTCAGTAAACTGAATCGGGAATTTGAACTTGAATCTTATCTCAGCTTTTAAAGTAGGCCAATTCATAATAAACTTGAAGAGTATGCAAGACATAAAGGCCTGTTATTTAAGTGCAAAGATACAGTATTGCTGCGTGCCAAGAAGGGTTTAAATCAGCAAAGGCACCCATCTCCACGACAGAACCAGGGGAACCATCTGACAGCTCTGGGCCAGTAATACAGCCAAAGTGAGCTGTGTTTATTTGCATTGCATGGCTTGCAGGGTAGGCTGTTATTCCATGCAAGCAAAGTAATCTGGAATTTAGTATCATTAAGGCAGCCTAATAAAATTCCATGTTTTCATCCTGATCCCACATTACTTTCAAGTCCAGGTCTTTGAACAGCATAGTGAGAGGAGTGCCGCTGTCCCGGCCTGCGGCAGTGTCTTGGGACATGCTCAGTTTTGTGCAGCTGAGCTCCTTTATTGCTGTTAACATTTCCATTTCTTGAGTCTCTGGGAACTGCAGTTTATTTGCAGGATGTAAGAATGAACCTGGCAACACCCACCGCTCCGGGGTGTTCTCTCCAAGGAAGCTGTTGCCAGAATTGACTGAGAAAAGGAGAGCTGCTGACAGAGGTGACAACTTGTCCTCTGGAGCACAGTCTGTGTCAGCTCTCACTGCAGGCAGTTCTGTCTGTTGTCTGTAGCATCCTCGTTGTTCCAGCAAAGGCAGTGACAGCCGGGATACAGGCACTTTCCTTCCCATCCCATCAGTCTGCAGCAGCAGCTGCTGTGTTTGCTCAGGGCTCCCCTGTAAGAGAACTGTCTCCCCTGTGTCACTGCTGTTCCACAGTGCCAGGTTTGGCCCCTGTTCTTTGTAATTCCAGTGGTTGTGGCTCTTGCCCAGCACCTGTTTTATGAGCTTCCCACCAGCAGAACATTCTGGAGGGACTTCCTTCAGCATTTGGTCTGGCTGTAAATTCTCCTTGTCCGCATGGTCTGTGCTGTCGACACACACCCCATAGGTGAGGGGCAGGACTTTGCTGGATGTGGCAGCGGGAATGCTCTGCAGGACTTTGCTGGATGTGGCAGTGAGAATGCTCTGCTGGTCTCTTTGAGGAGTGTAACTGATGGGAGCTGCAGTGGGCACACAGGGTGGCCGTGCGGGCGGCCGGAGCGTTGGCACATCTGACTGCTGCTGATAGGCAGTCTCTGGTGGATGGGAAGACCATGGCGGCTCCAGTGCTGTGTCCAAATGTTGGCTGATCTGTGGTAGCTGCACTTCAGGGATGAGAAGCGAAGGTTTGGATAAAGTAATGGGCTTTATAATATGTTCCACTGTCAGTGTAAGAGGCTGGAATGATGAAATCCCTCTGAAGTCCTGTTGACATAAATAGACAGACATGAGTTATTAACAAGAAGCTGTGACTTTTAGAAGTTTGCTTTAGATTCTTTAAAATTTTCTTTGGTGAAATGTCAGTAAAAGCCAGGAATAACCACCAAGGATCTACTCTGCTGACAGAAGGATTCTGGGTTTTTTCCTGTGGAATGACCCTTCACAGGAACACAGACACCTCTCACTATGCATCAAGGCAACTCTGCAATCCTAAAATATAAGGAAGAAAAAATCCTGCTTTAATTTTTTCAAAATTTGGCCTAAGCCCCGAATACATTGCCCTGAAGCTCACTTAGCGTGGAGAGCCAGCGCTTGCTGTGGGGGATGCAGGACAGGAGAGAAGGCCCAGGGCTTTGAGAGGAACTGGTGGTGGAGGACACCTCCAGTTCTAGCTGCCTGACCTGACACCGCCTTTAGAGGGAGTAAAACCAAATGGGGGGGAAGTTGTGAGCACCCATAGCCTGCAGTGATTGCCAGACAGCACCCTTGCACCCTCCTCAGGGCTGTGTAAGTGCCTGCACAGCATCCCAGGCTTCAGAGCACTCACCAGAGACATGGGCTGCACACTCTGCTGCTTGACGTACTTGTAGATCCCAAAGGTAACGGCAGCAAACACCAGTCCAGCACAGAGGGTGAGTGCCACGGAGCAGTACAGGAGCCACGTGTGGTCTGGTTAGTGGGGCAGAGAACAAGTGCGAAAGGTAGCTTCAGAGAGTTGGGTTAGAGAAACCCTGACATGAGCTAAGTGATGTTCTAGGTCTAGGCTCATAGGACTAGATTTTAGATTAGAGAAGTCAGTGTTGCTTCAGTATCTTTAGCAAGGCCATGTTATCTTAAACCAGCTGAAAACCAGTCCCTTTTGTGTATCCAGTATCCCAGCTGGATTTTTAAGTGAGCAGAGTCAACAGCCTCACCTGCTAGTGTTCTAACCCAAAACACTTGAGATTTGCTGCTTCTCTGGAGGAGAGAGATATACACTGTTCCGTTATAGTCAGTGGCTGGGTCCAAGTTGGAAACTTCAAATTCTTTGTTGTGCTCATTCTTTGTCCACTATTTAAAATAAAAGCAAATTCTGTGTTTTAGGAAGATTAGATACATACATTTTCTTCAAATCAGATTGCAAAATTCAGCATGAAATTTTGTTTACTAATAAGATGTTACAGGACTACAATTCTGTATATACAGAATCCTAAATCTATAACTTGCATTCACCTGTTACTGTATTGAATTTTTACTTTTGAGTTCCTTAAGACTTGAACTACTTCAGTGGTTCTTTGGTTTAGTCCCACTACCCTGGGAATCTTCAGTTTCTTTTCCAGAATTTTAGAGGAATGCTTAAAGTTCCTCTTGTCTACTGTGAGTCAAAGGCGCTGACACTTTCCCTCGCACATGCGAAATCCATCCATCACGTGTAAGCTCTGCGGGTCTTACACGAAATATGACTTAGAAAAGTCAGTGGCTTATGGCCAGAGGTTGTGCTTTACCTTTTGGTGTGTCCTTTGGTTGAATATTGTTAAGTGATACTCCACAGCACCAAGTTTGCTATAAACATCCTCTATGGTTAGCTGGCGCTCATCCTCGCCTCTCAGCGGAGTGTAGGGGGGCCGGATAAGGAACTTTATGGAGCGTACATAAGGAATGTACTCCACTGTTGGTGCTCCAATAACAGCTAGGAAAGATAGAACAGGCAGCTGAAATTAAAGCTCATACATTATCAGATTATCCTGTGTACATCTTAGGCACCTCCCCAGGCTCACTGCCCATACCAGCCTCCCTCAGGGCTTCCCTCCCTTCCTAGCCAGCACAGAGTCCAGCAGTGCTGCAGCGAGAGGAGATGCTGGCCTGACCATCAGCGAGACTTGGAATGAGCCCCTTGCAAGCGGGATAACAGCTTTCAGCAGTGGTACGTACTCTCTTTCCTGGGCTCAAATCTTTCTGAGCGTACCCAGTTGGAGGAGCAGTGGTTCTGGGCAGTGGCCCTCACCCTGGCATAGTAGTGCTCTGTGAAGTTTTCTGTTTCACGAGTGAGGTTGCAGAAGGGCTGTGTGATGCTCTGGCACTCGGGCTTGTTCAGCCAGGATTTTTCTCCATACCTTAGGACAAAAAAAGCTGATAGTCAGTTTTGTATAAAAAAAAGCAATTCAACCCTCCTCTAGAATGACCCAAATAGGCTGTTTTGCCAAGTCTTAGTGGTTCTTCAATTCAATATTGCAGTCAGCAAGTGGCAGAGGATGGACACGCAGAGGCACAGAGGAACCTCCCCTGGACTACAGCTTGTTCTGGTTCGTATGTGGCTCGTATGTGGTGACTGCCTCGAGGAAGTGCAGCTTATGGCAAGCACACACAGGAGTGTCCTGCGAGTCAGTGGCTCTGGGGCTCTCTGCCCAGCTCTGACACTGCATGGTTATGTGTGGGTTCACTGCAGAGTTTGCAGACTTCCCCAAAGGACAAGCTATTGTGTAGCAATGGTCTGATTTATCTTAATTTTATGGACTGAACCAGAGGAAGACAATTGCTACTGCTGTATTTACAGGAAGCTGCAGGAGAGAGAGAAGGAAGTTGCTGAAGGCAGAGAGTAGCTCAGTAATGGAGTAAAGTTGGCAACCCAAGATGTGAAACTGTTTGCTTAACTGGGCACCATCTACCCAGTTTAAATAACTATATAATAA